GAAACATCGTCAAAAAAAAAAAAAAAAACAAAAAAAACAGCACCCCAACAACAACATATACTACCGTAAGATCATATCGTTACATACAATTTTCACGTAATCCAAAGTCAAATTCCCCTATACTTTCTCCTCCTAACGGAAAAAGAAAGAAAAAAAAAAAAAAAAACGAAAACAAAAACTTGAAAGGAGAAGTGGCAAAGTGGCGATGGTGGTTCAAAGTGGGCAAAAGGTATCAGGCGTTACGATACACGCCTGGTTGTATTAGAAAAAGAGGGCGAAAGAGGAGGATGAGACGAGCGAAAGGAGAAGAGCAGAGCGGTGGGCTCTTACCGAGGTTACGTGTCGATCCGGGGCGAGCGGTGGCTGGGCGTCGCGTTTTCGCGGTTTTTTCCCTCGTGACAAGGGCTGCGAGGAGATCGGCCGCCGAAATAACAGCATAACGTCGGGGCAAGGGTAGACTACCGGCAGACAGCGACTATGGGGGCGGTGACCGCCCGCCAACGCGAATCAATACCCGCAGGAACAGGAACCACCGACCTACCGAGAGAGACAGTTCACGAAGGGAGACAGAGACACGGGTGGAAAGAGAGAGAGAGAGAGAGAGAGAGAGAGGGAGGAGGAAGGGAGGCGATGAAGAAGAGAGACAGAGAGAGAGAGAAGAAGGAGGACGAGGAGGAGGAAACCTCCTCCGTCCCGGTGGAGAGAAAGCAGGAAGGGAGGGAGGGGAAGGAAAAGCGAGCAGTATCAAGAGAGGAGCAAGAGGCGGAGAATGACGGACGGAGAGGAACAAGGCCTGGCACCGCATCGATGCGTCCCAGGGTGCAAACGTGCCGATACCTTCTACGATTCCTTCCCTGCGTTGTCGCTGTTTCTCAGCTTGTTTTGTTCAAAAAAACGCGTGAAGGAAGGCGAGAAATTTGAAAGATTGGAAGATTTCTTTTTTTAGAGGATCTTTTTTTCCCCTGGAGGATGGAAAATTTTAAACGGAATTATTCATTTAAGTTAAGAGTGGATACTGGAGAAGGAGTGGTGATGTATGAAGGTGGTAAAAAGGGTTTATAGGTTGCGAGATTTTTTTAAATAGAAAATGGATGTCGAGTAGAACGGGAAGAAATATGAGATTTATCGAGATTTTTTTTTATATCCTTTGTATAAAGGAGAAATTTCTTTTGTATTTATATCCTTGTTAAAGGAGAAATTTGAGAGTTGGAAGATTTTTTTTTAAGTACGTATGCTACGTACGAAGAAGAAAAATAAAACTTATCGTGGATTTGAAATTTTTTTCTTTTCATTTTAGAAAATTTTGAATAAAATCTCGCCTGTTCTATTATATACACGCGCGTAGAAACGAAGAGGAAAGATCTCAAGATTCTTTTTTGCATAGATGCTACGAATACGGACAAATAAGACGAGATTTATCGCGAATTTTTAAGATAAAGAATCTTTTCAATCCCTTAACAAGCTTGTAACGAAGATTCATAACGAAGAAGATCCTAAAAGAAAACCGACCATCTGCGAATTTAAACCCTTTACAACGCTTCCTTTTATCAAAACCTTGAAAACCAAGTAGCAAAAATCTCTAAGTTATCTTATAAATGATCTTATAAATTCGTAAACCGACTAAACCACCCATCCCTCTCCCTCCCTCCCCCCAAAGACGTTGTACATTCAAGAAACATCCAATAGGTGAACGTCCATTTTCAAGAACATCTTTCACGATCGTGGACAGTAATGGAGCGGTAAATTTTCGCGGTTTGCTCGTACGTGGAACGCATCTGGAAGAGAGATAGAGAGAGAGAGAGATAGAGAGAGAAGATTGAATTCAGGG